ACTCTTTGTTCTATATTAATTCTTTAAATTCTTTCAAGTGGAATCTTACTCTAATGAGTGAAAATTGAATGAATTTGAAACAAAGACTGATTGAATTTTCAATCTTTATGAGTATGATTTTATACTACAGAGTGAAATTCACTCGAAAAGTTTTAGAGAATACATTTGTATTGTTTAGTGCAAAATGACAATATTGATGTTATGTTACTTTTTTAGTTGGTGTCGATTGGGGGAATCATATCACCAGATACATATACAATAATTCTTTTTCTTTTCCTTTTTTTTAGAGCTTCCATCCTCTCGACGTCATTACTACGATATTTGATGATACATATCCCTGGTCCGTGATTGCAATCATCTCTGCGAATTTGGCGCATTCCGAAACTTATCTCATAGGGAAAAGTTTTATTTGCAGTATCCAGCTATGACAATCCTTGGGTGTGTTCAAGAATTATGTCTAGATAACTCCGAGTATACACTTTTCATATAATATACGTGAGTGTAGTCTAGAATTATATCTGAACGTAATTCCTGAACACACCCCTCGGTAGCGTTTGCGCTTACAGCTCACTGCGCATATAAATTGTAATCCGCAGTTGCAATGTGATCTTTTGTTTTGATAATAAGATGATTCATGTCGATAATAAGTATGATTCAAGGATTCCAAGGTGCTTTTTTCGCTGATCCGTGAAAGTTTCTACGTAATTGCAAATACAATTATATTATTAAACAAAACATTACATTAATTAAAGAAATTATATTATTAAAAATATATACTAGAAAGATAACAAGATAACAGTACGTTTATACCTCCACAAAACAAGGAAGAATATAGTTAATTTGTATATCTTGATTCATCACATTTCTTATCTCCAATCATTCTAATATATAACGAGTCTTTATCTTCGCTTGTATGTAAGCCATATTAATATAAAAAGAAAGCTCATAAGGGCAAAAAAAGTGGCGATTCAGCGTTCCTGGCCGTTAATCGCAGTTTACGATCGCAGTTCGTCCAAGTTGCTCCAAGTTGGTCGTTGTCAGTAGTGGTACGTTGTGCGCGAGCGCACATTTATCTATCCTGCTGGTTCTGGTACTTCTGGTTAGTCCGCACTGTCCGCAGTCGCACTTCGCAGTTAGTTACGTGTAGTCGTTTTACTGTCAATCGTCACGTCGTACGTTGCCAGTCATTCGTGAGTAATTGTGAATGTTTCTGCCGAGATGTACCGTTAAACCAAAGAACAAAATACGCATTTCTATTCTTTTTATTCAAGATATGCGGAATCGCACGGCATTTATTGCGCGCGTGAATTGTACAGAAGTGTCTATTGTTTGAGAACGAGGGACCAGGCCGAGCAGGTTTATATGATTCCGTGAGGGACCAAGCTTAATAAGTATTTCTCAATCTCTCGATTCAAACAGCTTGAATTATTCCAAGAGAATAGCAATCATGTGGAAACCCTTCGAACATGGCAGTTCGCCCGTAGATTGGTGTGAGCGCAACTACAACATCTCTCCTAGCATCGCCGAGTTTATGAATACGGTTCGTATTGCGCGTTTGTTTACATGCCGTTTATGCGCGTTATGAACCTTTCTTTGTTCGATTAATTTCAAAACGGTTCTACATGGACGAGAAAGTCCAAGTATACTTTTTCAGTCACGAGAATCGCAATTCGATGGACTTTTAATTATACGATTGACTCGAAAATAAGGAACTTCTCCGAGGAATAATTTATCTCGAAGATATTTAATGTTGAAAATTATATATATTTGAATGATAATAAGTTTCCAGATGTTTTGCACGAGGGACAGTTCGACTGATAGTTTTTTTTTATACAAGACAAACTCTACATTTGTAAAATGTCAAATAATTCAAAGGTAAAAGTGTCATAAATAGACATAATAATAGACTTGTGATAAGGAAGTCCATACTACTTTAGCAGCAAGATAAAAGATACACAGCTTTTATGGCTATTTTTTATAAATTCTAAATAGGAATTTATTTTTTCTACACAAAAATTCAACCACAAGAATTAAGATCCGATTGAATTATAATTAAGAATTATGGAATGACAACTTTTTTTCTCAAGATAAAGGTACAAGTGGACAATAACATCTTAATGTCCAATATTTTCTAAATTAGTCACAAAAATACTTAATATTCAGAGTTACATTGACTCAAGTATATAAATAGTTTCCAGTCTTTTGTCGAGACAGGTTTTTTTGCTCGAGGCAGATTCTAATTATATTGACAATTTCATAGGTCAAAGTTATTTAGATCCGAGACAAAAGCTTGTATTATGTAATTGTAATATGCAAATAATGAAATTATATTATTAAACAAAAGATATATACTAGAAAGGTAACAAGATAACAGTATACTTCTACCTACACAAAGACAAGAAAGAATATAGTTAATTTGTATATCTTGATTCATTATTTCTTATCTCTAATAATTTTGATACAATGAGTCTTTATCTTCTCTTGTATATCTGATGAGCCTTTATCTTCATGTAGAAATTTTATCGTTCTAATATAAACGAAAGTTGTTTGTTGTTGAAAACAGTTTATCTGGAACTAAATTTCCTATTTTAGAACAATGAAACATGATATTATATTTCTGCTAAATATAATTTATGCAAATATACAAGACCATTTTTCATACAGAACCGTTAAATCATGATGAATTACATTGAAAAAATAAATATGATACAAATATAGAAAGAGAGTAGTATATTTTTCATTGTTTAACTTATCTACTGTTTTTATTTTCTAGTTGAGCAATGTGGTCTTCGTGTTGCTTCCACCCGTGCTCATGCACCTATTTAGAGACTATGCACGCTTTGTGAATCCAGGAATTCATGTGTTCTGGTTTTTACTGATGATAGTCGGACTTACTAGCGCGTATTTTCACGCTACTCTGTCCTTGATAGGTGAGAATTCCAAGTATCAAGTATTTACTACTTAATAACAAAAGAAATGCTATTTAAAAGTATTTATCGAGATGTATGTATTTGCTTAATTGGTAAAATTGACATTTTTGTTGCGTTTAGCTAATCTTGTGCATATATGCGATAGGTCAACTATTAGATGAATTGTCTATTTTGTGGGTGTATATGGCAGGCTTCTGTATGTTCTTTCCCAGAAGATATTTCCCCAATGTCGTACATAATGACAGAAAGCTCTTCTCTATATGCGCAACGTTGCCCACTCTAATCGCCACTGGCTTGGCCTTGATACATCCGGCTGTAAATGCTTTCGCATTGATGAGCCTGGGTGTACCGGCGATTGGATTCTTGATCATGGAACTGAAGAGGTAATTTCTTTGTACAGACATCTAATATAGAATATTATGTGGATTTGAAAAGAAAAACTCCAGTAATGATTAATATGACGGAAACATAAGTATATATTCGAATATATTCGATGTAAAAGTCGCAAAGAATTATATTGTAACGGTGTCTTAAAAAATTTGAAGGACTACCTCGGTAAGAGTGTACAGACTAGGATTGCGATGCGGAGTCATGTGGATACTAGCGGTGGTCTGTTGGCTAAACGATCGTCTGTTCTGCGATACCTGGCTGAATCTAAACTTCCCATATCTCCATGCATTGTGGCATTTGTTTATCTTCATTGCGAGTTACACTGCGGCGGTGCTCTTTGCGTATTTCGCCGTGCAAGATGAGAAGCCGCAGCAATCTCCAGTGCTCAAATATTGGCCCAGGGACAACTTTGAACTCGGTATACCATACGTAACTATTCGAAGTTATATCAAGTCGAGTTACAATATGAATATATAGCTCTTATAATAATTTCGAGAGCATTAATATTGTAATGCATTATTATTTATTACGCAATAGTATACTTAATACAACTATAGCAATATTTAGCGTTTAAATGCGCAGATGTTTAACATGGTGTCCCGTGATTTATATAAACATTAATTTTATCATATTTTATATTATATCTTGCTTTAAAGAATTGCTTATAAAATATCTTTAAGACGAATTAAATTTTATATTGTAAGAAAAAATATGAAAATGTGATATAAAGAAATCTCTACATAACTGGCACAGTGAACATTTATGATTTAGTGATAATTTCGGAAGTCACTATAAATGAGCATATGTAATACTTGATTCGAGACATTGATTTATTATTATTATTATATATGTCTTTTGAATTATTGTTTTAAAGATTATACGTTTTATTTATTTAGCATTTAAAATAATTGAAAATATCAATGACTAATAAGCGAATTACATGTCCCTACTAATATCTCTACCTGACAATTAGCTTTCCTCCTAGTTATATTAGTTATTAAAGTGTTTCCCAAAATCTGGAATTGACCTTATAAAAAGGTATATATAACTTTATAACGAACATTTTCGTTACATTGTTATAAACGATGTAATAAGTTCTGTACATAATTAAAAGCAGCGTATATGAAAATTATTAATTCCTCATGCGAAGAGATTATAAAATCGCAGATATTTATGATTACATATATGTATACATTAGCGAATTAGAAATTATTTATGAAATGATTATATTGTGATATGTACTCTTGTTAACTTTTTTACAAAGGACTATTTTATAAATGTGCTATAATACACAAATTACTAAGAATACGCATGCGTGTGTATTTTATATTTTCAAGTACCGGAAACATGTAAAGATGTAACATAGATACATATTAATTAATAGTGTCCTATTAATTAAATTCTAATTAAGAATATAATCTCAAAATTCTAACAACTATCTTAGATATAAGACTACATATGTGTGTACATTAAAGAAAACATATTACGGTAAAGCATTTAATTTTTTGTGATATTGTAGACTGTAATTACAATTACCAGCTACAACTACTCTGTTTTATTTAAAGAAATTACGATGAAACTGGAATGTTGAATTTTATATATTATCCATATAATACATAATTTACATATATTATTTTCAATTGTTTTTATGTAATTAAATATTATACAAATTATGTAATTGTATTATACAAACGTGTAATAAAAATATCAAATATATCAGAGATGAATAAGTCTGTACAATTAAATAATCTAATAATTAAGAAGCAGAAGATACATTTTCATCATATTCCCCCCTAAAACACATAACATTCTTGTCAGTTTCGTGGACCTTTACTTCATATAATAATTCGGGATTGGACATGTGCTTTTTTAAGTCATTGAAAATATATATAGCAACATTCTCGGTCGTTGAAACCATTTTATGAAAGTATTCAATTTGTTTATCTATATTTTTGTGATCCATTTTGTCCATCAACACCTTTTGCATGCAATCCTTTAAATCTTCCAAATTCATAACCATTCCTGTTAACGGATTCACAGGTCCGCGGACGGTTACTTCCACTAAAAAGTTAAATTAATTTTATTCTGATTTCATGCGTAAGATTTCATGCATCAAAAAATTTAACATTAAACATTTAAAAGTTGAAAAAATTCCAAAACAATGATCTCCAATCTCTTAGCAAAAATGTTATCTTTTTTTTTTACAGTCTTTAAAATTTATATATTAAACGATTCTAATTAAATTAGACTTTCTAAATGTTAAGCTTCCGCTAGGAAAAGAAAAAAAACTAATTCGACGAAAAAATATGGTCCTACGGTATTTTTTCAGATATATTATTTAAGATTAATCTTGTTATGTTTGCTTAGTATGTGATGTATTATAAACAGCGAAGTGATAAACTGATAATACACATTACCAATGTAATTATGTCCATGGCCAAAAACATTGTTGCACTTTCCGTATATCAATTCATTCTCGTTATCGCTTAGGAATGGGCTAAAATTATAAATAACTTTAAATCGGTACGTTGTTCTGAATAAAATCTTCCTTTAATCAATTCAATGAATTGATTTTTTTTCTCTAAATATGAGCTTAATAATGTTTATGTAATTATACATACAGTGAGAGCAAAAAGTATTCGTACCAGGAAATTTTTTATTAAAAAAGTCTTATTTATAGAAAATAAACATTAATTAGCAATTTTATACAATGAATACATTCTGTTCTTACATTGACAAACGAGCTTCGCATATATTCTTGATTTTAAAAGCTAAATTTCTTGACTTTACGAATACTTTTTGACATTCAAATAATACAATTTTTAATTTTCACTAATTTTTCAGATAATATATTTTTTATAATTAATACATATCTTTTTAGTATATATAATTTTAAGAAACATACAGTCTATTTTATTCTTTGAATAAATTATTAATTACCCAGCAAGAAATGATCGTCAATTAAACGTCGAATCGATGTCAAATTGAAATCATCGATGTTAATTCAACATCAATTCGCTGACTCATTTCTTGCTCGATAATATTTATTAATACTTTTTAAAAATAAAGCTCTTTTAAAAAATATTTTTTCTGTATAAATACATTTTGCACTCACTGTATATATAATGTTTTTTATACGTAAAAATAACAGTAAAATTTTTTTTAGCTTTTAACAATAAACATGAAGACCGAGAACGAAATTTTTTTCATTTGAATACAAAACGAACTATTATAGAACGTAAATATATCGTTCGAAAACCGATTAGTGTCTAATTATCTTTTAAATGATTGAAAAACGATTAATTCTTTGCAAGAATGACTTTCTGGGATTTAACAAGAAGTTTTTTGTTAATGATTTCAAGTTATTTGATTTTAAGATTTAATTTAATTCGAACATCGCATAATATTCCGGGAAATCGTAATAAACGCATTGCTCGCAATGAACAAGAAGCGTTCTCCTTCCCTGAATCAGTAGATCGTGAAATTTATAAGTGTTCGTTAGATCAAAGATCCGTTCTATTCATCAACTCGATTCACGCACCTGTGTAAACGATGGCAGCAAGATATCTGTGCCTTCCGAGTCAAATAAGCGATCGGCCTTCTTTCACGATTTGGAATCTCCATTCTCCACTTCTTTTATTCTTCCCTTAATGGGAACACGTAGATACGAAGCTTAAGGATATGTTGTAAACAATGAAAAAAATGTTCCTTCCGGTGAATGCACGGCGATGACCGCAACAGCTGGAAATCGACATAATTATTAGAATAATCAGAAATTTCTGTGAATAATTGTCCGACAAAGAATACAGTATATAACGATGAATCAGAAATCTATTTTAGATAGCCTGTGGAAAATAGATTCTACAAAGCGTCTGCTGTAAATTATGTTGGCAGAACCAGTAAATATATAACAAAATCTTGCCAGCGGAATATGATAGCAGATTTATTATGAAAGAATTGAACAAAATCTCTGCTATTTTCTAACT